AAAAGGAGATTAAAAACAAGGCCCTGTCAATTAGTTGCATCTAATCAGTGACTGTTTAATAAGACACATCTCTCTCTCTCCAGCACTGCACTGCGCTTGAACCTGCCCTGGATGCCAGCAGCAGACAATTATAAACCTTCTGAGTGCTCACTGTACAGAGAGGGGGGACGGACGGAGTCGTGCCCTGAACTCCTGACCCTCTTCACACACCAAGCGTCTGTTGTGGACTCCGGGAGGTGCAAGATGGGTCACAGCAAGCTGTGAAGGGGAGAATGGAGGTGGGGTAGATTGGGGCATTGGAGGGGGTGGATGGAGGGGAACAGTAGCTACTGTGTAGAGAGATTACCCTGCTACTGTGAAAGCCAAAGCCGCAGCTGAGGTGGAGTGTATATATGCCATATCATTGGTAAACAAGTTAGTGATCAGATTGTTTATGTTCTGCGATTGTTATTTGCAGTACTTTAGGTTCCTCTTATTAAAAGAATAATTGACCCAAAAGGGGGTATTACTGATGTATTTTGTGTCGTAGAATAAAACATGAAAATAGCTTGAGCTTGTGCGAACCACAAACCTTGTTTTAAGCATTTAATTACAAACCCATTCAAAAAAAACCTATTGACTTCAGGACAATGGAATTGAAAATGTTAAAATTTCTGGATTTTGCCTTACATAAATATGTCATCCCCGCAGCACTATATAATTGTTATCTTAATTTTCTTCATGAAGATGCCCATTTTTGGCCCATCCTGTCGCCCCGTCCTAAATTCTTATTGTTATATATTAGCAAATATGCACATTATAATGAAAACAAAATGCATGTCGATCCAAATTCGTAGGACTTTCTTTCTACAATGAAACATAAGAGATATTTTGAAGAACATTGGTAACCAAACAACATTGGTGCTCACTGAACACAGGGGGCATTTACACAACACCATTTTCAACTAAAAATGGAAAACGTTTTATGCGTTTTGGCCATTCGTTTACACAACAACACCGTTTTGGGGGCCAGAAAACGCAAACTTTTGAAAACAGGTTTCAAAGTGCAAGGTTTTGAAAACGATAGGCTACTGTAATCATCTCCGTGTTGACTACAAAAATGCAAATGTGTGAAAACGGTGACATCATGCGAGTGTGTATAACGTGTTGTATGCGCGTAGCGTTTCCTTACAAAGTGACATCGCTAACTACTGGCCTGGCATGTATAATACAGCGTTTTAGTCATTTTCACGCAACGATGATCATTTTGACAACATTGTCGTCTGTACGCAAAACTCTTTTTTAAAAACGCAATGAAAAATCCTTTCTGTTTTCAGTACATTGTTGTGTAAATGTACCTTGAGACATTTTTCAAAATATCTTCATTTTTGGGTACACTATCCCTAATAAGTGAACTCTGCATGGAAGTGCTTTTTAATGTTTTGTTATGCTCAGGGCAATATTAAAATGTTTGATAAAAAGTGGATATTTATGGAAACATCTGAATTAAAAGGTCACTAAGCTTATTTATGACACTATTTTTGGTAATCAACAACATGTTAGAGCTTAACGTATATATTGTCTGTTTTACTGTTTTTTTTAAATTTTTTTATGTGGTTTTACTCCCACAAAGTTCACATAATTATCTCACAAATCATCATAAATCAGTTCACAGCTGCTCTTTGTACAAGTCCAAAGCCAATGGCAGTGGATGCGGTGCAGTCTAAACAATTTCAGGGTCATCTTTAGGAAAATAACAGGTTGCCTGTGAAAGGTTCGAGTGTGTGTGTGTGTGTGTGTGTGTGTGGGTCACAGTGCCTTCATGCATAAATGTATGAATACATGCGGTCAGAAGTCACGGAACAAGATGTGAATAAGATACCAAATCGGTGGATTTAACAGACATGCGCACGCAGCAGCCATTGTAAGTCCTTAATACCGAAAAGTGCACATGAAGTGTGCCATTTTGGACAGGGCCATAGACGACTTCAAACCGAACTACACAGCTCTGTGTAAATGCGTCATCTGCATCAGAATGTTATGATTGGCCCAGAGTAAACGTCTTACGTCAGCACGTTCTGAACTCATATGTGCTCATACCGGTAATCTCGGGTGTGTCTCAATCAGCTCCCTAGCTCAATCGTCAGGGCACTGATCAGGGAGTCAGCCATTGTAAGGTCTCAATCGCAAAATCCTTCCAGTGCACTGGAACGTTCATAATATTACAACGAATTTACCGGTATTTTTTAAAAGGTCCTGTTCACACATGATCTCTTAATGGTAATTTACTGGTAATTTACCGGTAAAGACAGTATGTGTGAAAGGGACTATTGTTTTTATCGTTCATCAGCTCGAAAAACATTTTGAAAGCGATTTCAAGGATATCATTACCCTGTCATTATCATCAAGGTTGTGGTGTAGACTCCGCTATTCTCTTGAATTAAAATGATTTTTAAAACTTATTTTGACGAGTGGGGTGGGGCCGAGAGCCATGGGAACGGAGCGAGGCTGGTGGAGTAATTGATAATGAGCGACACCTGCGCCACTCACCGGTCTTGAGTCCCACGGAGGAGCTCCGGAAGGATAAAAGGAGGAGTAACGACAGTGAAGGACGAGAGAGGATCAGGCCTGGACTTTATTTTGTGTTTGTTTATTTTATTATTAAAGTCTTTAAATGATCGCCGGTTCCCGCCTCCTTCTTCCCGATCTACAACGTTGTTACACTTATCTTCATAGTTATCGTTCTTGGCTATCGTCATAGTTATTCATCTTGGTTTACGCTGGACATCCGTTTAGTCAGTTCACCCCCTTAGTGATTGGGTTGTGTTCAAATCCAAAATGCTTACCAAACACCTAACTAAAGGAAGCCTCAGTTGTCAGATTTTTTTTTTTTAGATCGTCGTCCTTTAACCAATCACCCCACCGCAATGGCAACCCCTAACCTTCCCCTCTCTTCTGCTCCAAACGAAATTCTTTGGAAAGTCATTTTATATCACCCTTTGAACGTGCATTGAACTGTAAAACCACCCCATTGGAAACAAAATAAAGGGATTGAGGATGGGAGGAGAGGGAGGGTTGGGGGAGGGGGGCGAAGGAGGAGAATTATAATTCTTTGCGGGCCTTTGGTATTAACAAAAAACACCGTCGCTGTCAGCGGCTCCGGGAAGGAAGCGCAAGGGCCAAACATTCAGTGTTAATTGGCACTTTGTAAGCTCCGAGCCTTCCCTTTGTGAAAGGTGGAGGGGATAGGAGATGTGGGGGGGAAAGAGAGAGAGATAGAGAGAGAAAGCCAGTTCTTGTTCTTGCTGGGCCTTGTTGAGGGTATTTACGGTTCACTTCTTATCCTTTGTTAATTGGACTTTCTCCTTTATGGAGAAAAAGAGACAGGGAGAGAAAGAAGAATTCATCTAGCCCCCCCAATTTCTAGATTCTGCTAATTGGGAACATTGGGCGTCTTTTTAAGGGGTCTTTTCTATATTGCCTAAAAGGTTTTGACTTTGTTTTCCTGTTTTCATACTTAATGTTCAAATAATGATCGAAAAGTAGTTTGACCAATAAGGTTCTGTTTCTAGATTCTGCTAATTGGGAACATTGGGCGTCTTTTTAAGGGGTCTTTTCTATATTGCCTAAAAGGTTTTGACTTTGTTTTCCTGTTTTCATACTTAATGTTCAAATAATGATCGAAAAGTAGTTTGACCAATAACATGCAGGCATTGTACATAATCGACCAATCGTGGCACGTGAGAAGGTGTGATCATGGTACTTTGATCTCATCACACCGATCGGTCTGCGCAGCGCAAACAAAGCCAAAACCTGGGTATTTTAGGCAATATAGAAATCCTCTCCAGGATGTGTCTGGGAAAAAGGGCATGTATGGTCACCCTTTTCAAAGTGTAACTTTTTTCTTAAGATTTTATTTTAAAGATGTTTGGATAATACGGAAATATGTTTTTGTCTAACAAATCTGACTAGATCAATGCCTTGTTAGATGGTGTGTTGAATCGAGAATGGTTTAATTTGTGAATGAATCATTAACATACTGTTCAGATTGTTTTCATGAACTGGATCAAGTGATTCATTAAAAAGAACAATTCTTTCACAAATCAACCATAGATAGATAGATGGATGGATGGATGGATAGATAGATAGAGTTTGTTCAGTTCATGTTCATGGTGATGCTGGAGAGGGTGGGGGATTTATTGCTCAGCATTAGGAGCTCTAATCTGTTGCAGGTGTTCCTGGCTGCTATCCCAGCCAGACGGGCCCGTTCCTTCCCCCTGGAGGCCCCATCATGAGTGTGTATGCGGGCATGTGTGGGTGTGTGTCTAAGAGAGAAGGGGAAAGTGTGAGTAAAAAGAGATAGTGTATGCGTAATGCATAAGGCAGTGCACGTGAAGCAGGAGGAGGTTCTGGCTTGGATTTCTCCTCTTAAACCCAGTCAAGTACATGAGAATTGATACAGCCTGGCGTAATTTCAGTTCATGTAGCTCTTCTGTGAATTCAGTATATTATGACCCACCCATGATAATTGCAGGGAATTAATGTGGAATATCTCTCTTATCAAGGACTCACTCAGAAGTGAAAAGTCTTCATCTTGGCGGTCATACAATCAAACCACCTACTGGTCAAACTTTTTGAGACGGTGAAAGGGGAACACGTGCACGCACTAGTTTGTTGTCGCTATTATCAAGAGACTGCTGCCCTCTTTTGGACATATTGTGTTACAACATCCAAATGTATTCTGTTTGGTGCAAATAGCAATATTCTTTAGAGGTGTAACTTAACTCAGGGTTGTGATTATACCCTCAAAAGTGTGATAGTAGTCTGTAAATCAGCACAGATTTTGTGTTCTTCAGATAGTACCTGATTTGCATAATTCCTTTAGTGCTACAACAAAGACAGCGCTTGCGCAATTCTGTCTAAAACATCAAAATGTCTTGAAACCTCTCATTATCTAATGATGTACGCTCTGAATGTTAGATTTGATCAGCAATAAAACTCAAGCGGCAAGCTTTTAGTGGAACGTCTTTATTGTTGAGTCTGATACAACGGGTCGCGTAGAAATATCGCTAGTGTAAGCTATAACATGAGGTAAGAGTGATTTACTGAGGTAAAGTAGTTTAGTCTACGCAGACAAAACATCTGCCGTTTTAAATCCTGAATAATTACATGAAATATTAACAGACTTAAAAAAAAGTGATTGTAGTTTGTGAACAGACATATTAAAATAGTGTTTAAACTCTTTAAATCTTCACATCAGCAATATATTCTTGATAAATTACTACAAATCACCTTCAACCTCAGCAGGTTGAATATTTCATTATAAAGCTTTATTCTTGGTCTTCAACAACAGGGAGAAGAACTCCCATCACCCTCATGAGCACCAGGGCTTGGTGTGTCAGAGCACATGCGTTAACCGCTAATGCTCTGCTCAACGCATAGATTCCCATTAAACTCAGCTTCCAGTAACTGGTTCCTTATAAACTTGTGGATTATATGTGTAGGAGTTTTGAATCGTCTGGTCCCTCAAGTATGGGAACCAATCCCTGAAGAGACAGGCGTAGAATGTGTACCAGGGGTAAAAGGCCTCAGGCTGGCGAGATGCTCCAGCTTCGATAATGTGCCAGGCGGCTTCGTGTGCAGGGTAGGCGGTCATGTTGATGTAACCTCTGCATTAAGCACATCAGAGATATGAAGAATGAGCCTTTTATCTGCAACTCGAGCGGTCATGAGTGATATGGAATGTTTGAGTTGCATAAGTGCTATTTATGACCACAAATTAGACTTTGTCTGCCCATATGGCATATGTTCTTTAGTAACTAGTGCTGAGCTAGTACCACTAGACAAAAACTTAAACTTTACAGTTTTAAACATTCCTAAATGTCTGTAAAAGTCTGTTTTTGTTCACATTTCACTTGTTCTTCTGTGTATGTATTTTTATGTTTGTTTGTAGGTATGTATGTACTACTGACATCTTTTGGCCTGGAGGCATAAAGTTTATTCATTAATTTCTGTCGCTTCATTTTCTCTTGTTTTATTCCTTTTCAACTGTGTCATTCATAAAATAATATTTTTATATTAAATCCCATTAAATGACCTCTTCCCCCATATTTGTCAGACTTGCTGTTCATTTCTTTGTGTCAAAGCTTTTCATTAGCAGAAACTGAGTCCACTTTTAATTGATTGTACATTTGCATTGCATTTATCAGCATAAAGAACCAAAGATCTTGATGTTAGCCTGTTCTTACTTGATTTTCTCCATGGCGCTATCTGTGTCGATCAGGCCCAGTGTGCAGATGGTTATGGACACATTGCTTTTTTGCATTGCTAGCTCATGCTGGAGGCCTCCAAAGAAACCATTTACTGCAAACTTAGTTGTGGCATACGGCAAAGCAAAGGGGCCACATATTTTTCCTGTGGAAAACAGTTGGGCGTTATTCCAGCATCTGTTTGTTTGTTAAACCAGCAACAATTGTGAGAAAGGTGTCAGATTTTAATCACCTAGCAGGGAGGAAACAACAACTATTGACCCTTTACTCTTTTCAAGGGTTGGCAATGCTTTTTGAGTCATCTCTGCATAACTGAGAAAATTCACCTATAGGAGAAATTAATGAATGACTAATCAATTATATATATTTGTTAGTTTTACACCATATATGGCATCAAAACTAGCAGGTATAGTTCACCCAAAAATTTGAATAAAGATGTCAAATCTTGATGTGTCATTTTTGAATATAGGCTACATGTGTGCCTGAGATTTGAGAGCTACAGTGCTTTTGCAACGTGTCCTTTTTGGTCCCCATTCACTTTCACTGAATTAAAAAATAACAGTTTTGAAAGTAAGTAAGTAAATAATGACAGAATGTTGATTTTTGGGTGAAATAACCTTTTATGAAGTTGCTATTGTCAATACAAATCGTTGTCATTGTGATTTGGCACCTCTAGCAGCCATCGTGTGTGCTCCACATTTCCATCCCACATTCTGTATGGACTGGGCCCGATGTGGTTCAGAACCAGGTAATCCAGACCCCCAAGCTGTTCGATGGCGTACTGCACCACATGGTCAGCATCGGAGGGCTTTGCCATGTCCGCAGGGATGAACAATGCCCTTTGAGCCCCCATTTCCAAGCACTTGCTCACAACCTGAGTTGAGATGAATCATATGAAGCAGTCATATATCCTTGAATCATGTAAATGATGAATGAAAGAAGAAAACTCAACTGACCTGTTCTAGGACATTTCCTCTCCTCGCTGTGATAACGAGTTGGGCTCCTAAACGGGCATAGTGATACGCCAACTGCTCACCGATGCCAGTACTGGCACCGGTCACCAGCACCCTGGCACCTTTCAAGGACTCTAAAAAAGACACAGTTCATAGTACGATGTTGACTATGAGGCCATTCACCCAGAACGCGAGACGCAGGCAGTCGAATGGGGAAAAAAGGTCTCGAGTTGAGCACCACATTTTTAGAATGCTGTATCATACCCAAAAATCATGCGCTGATGCGCATTGGTCAAAACATGTCTGTCTAGCACGTTAATGTAGAAAAACAATAGAATGTTGCATAAGATGCATATAAGGCACACAAAAAGGGAAACACTTTGGGAGTTTCAAAGTCGTCATTTGATTGGTTGAATTCTACAGGATTTCCAAGAGATGTGTGTGTCTTTAATGGTCTGCCCTGGAAACAAAGCCGTTGTGACTACAAACCTCCTTGTGGAGGAAGAAAGCCATTGTGTTTACAACTGTAACAATGAGTGCTTTTAGGATCAACTAAAGCTGGATTTTCAAAAGTATGTGAAGTTCACTGAATAGACTCTTGATGACTAAAGACAATGTTCTTGAATGGCTTATTGCACGCCAGTTTAGTTATTGTAGGGACACCGACTTACATTTTCATGCCACTAAACATGATGCTGAACAAAACAAACATTGCTTTGCGTGTCGTTCAGGAAGCCTCTTGGGCGATCCTTGGCCAATGAAAGCTGCTATGGAGTCCAGAACTTCTGCTGTTAGTCTGAACGTCTGGCTTTGCTAGACTATGCCCAGTGTAGACACTGTATAAAAGATAGCCTAGTTATTGCATAAAAGTGTCTCATAACGCTATAATGGTATATTTAATGTTCATAAAGGTCAAATGACAAATCCTGCTTTTTAAGCTTTCTAGGGTTATCACAGTTTATCAGTTTGTGAAAAGATTTTATGTATGGCCTTTTCCCATTAGTCACATCCATTATGGGTAGAAAGTTATATTAAACTTCTCCAATAGCCTCTCTGTACTCCAACAAAGGCACTGCAGTAACAGTAATTATTTTGAGGTTAAAACAAGTTCTGTGGTGCAACTACTGCAGGACAGAGATGCTCCCTTTGCTTGTCACACATCCTTAATTGCATAAATGCCATTGTGGCCTGGTAAATTAAAGCCTTGACTGATTTTTGGTGGGGTTTTTGGCAACGGTATTCACTATTTATGCATACATGAGCAAATATGTGGTGATAATCATCCTGCAAGTTCATGTTGATGACCATCAAATGTTAGACATCAAGGATTATTTATCACATTGCCAAATGCAGAAAATCAATTTTCAATGACCTTAATGGGAGATGAAGTGCAATAATCAACTCTATATTAAAACTGGTATGAATGGGCCAGTTCAGTAGAGTTCAGGTCATGTTTCTTTTTTAAACACACTCGCCCACTCACTTGCACCTATTAAAGTGATGAAATGTAAGCATAGAATTTAACGTTTAATTCAAAAACAATTTCAGGTAGTGGCATATGTGTTTTAAATAGAAGGGAAGAAAGAAAGAAAAAAAACAAATATTTCCCCTAAATCCTGGTTTGACTAATCACGGGTCTTGCACATGCATTTAATGTGGTATTACAGGTTATTTGAATATTAATTTTTATTACAGCACACGTAGATAAACAGAAAGGCGGTCGTACTCACCTTCATTAAATGACGGAGCGCTCCATCGAACCGCAACAAAAGCGACGCTTATGCCGCACAGCAACAGGAACTTGGCATAAAGATTCATTTCAGGAAATCTGTGGAAGATGAAGAAGCACAGCTTACAGAAATATGAAGTTGAACCGATCAACTGTCAAAATCAGTAGTTTTTTTAACTACAGAACCAGCATAACCGGATCATGTGTATAAAAAAAGGCGGAGTCATGTCAAAGTACAATCCGATGTATGTGGCGCAATCTTGGGAACAATAAATACGCACTGTCCGGGGGTGTTAGCAATCGTTTTCGTTTTATTTCAAATTATGTTTTAATTAAGTTGTGATTTTTCTGTCTTGAGTGTGTGTGTGTGCGTGTGTCAGAAAATGACTGGCTAGGAAATAAAAACCGAAAGTCAAGGTTATTAGATTAATTTTCAGTACGTTAAACTATCTAGTGACTTGGCATTTAAGTTAATAGAGAGATCCTGTTTACTCAATCACAGTAGGCCTATTACATGAAATTAAGTCTTTTTATTGATTAATACAATTAATTAATGATACCAAAGACTATAGTATATATATATATATATTTTTTTAATGCAGTCTATGATATAGACCAATTCAGAGTAGACGTCACAGTTACGTCACTTGCACACTATGGGAACAAGTGGAGATAAATGGGTAAAATCCATGGAATAAAAGAAAAAAATATTTTTGTGCCTTTTGATGTCAAGATCGGAATGCAAATAATTTTTATAGAATACTGTCGTCAAAGACGCCATTTGAAGCTAAACGCAGACGTTTAAATGGACATACTATGGATGAAAACTGTTATGATTACTCTACTTTTAAAGCATAAATTCGATTTAAACAATAGGTCTACATAATATTCACATATGCTGTTCATAGGGGACGTATTGTATTAGCCCTACAGTTACAGCATGAAATATTATTTAAACCTTAATACTATTAGAAATATTATTTAAACCTTACTATTAACATTTTTACATAACATTTATTTACTTTATCTCACAATTCTGACTTTTTTTCTAGCAAATGCAAGTTTATATCTCCTAATTCGGACTTTATAACTCAACTTAACTCAAAAATAGTGAGTTTGTCAAATCTAAGGGGAATAAGCCAGAAGAGCCGAGGGGAAAAGAGAGAATGACAAGTTGTTTTTCCTTATAGAATTGTGAGATATAATCTCGGAATTGCGAGAATAAAGTCAGAATTTTGAAATATAAAATCAAATTTACCTTTTTTAAATTCTTTTATTCCATGCTCCATAGACTGCCACTTGAAAAACGTCATTTTCTGCCTCCAGATAGGCTCCGCCCACAAAAACGTCATCCCTGTTTCGGATCTGTAAGACTATCCCACTCTCTAACGTCAATTTCGTTGAATAACAGTGCTTATTGCTGGGTGACAAGCTCTTGTAATATGCGGAGAACATTTTGAAAATGACATCTAATCAATATAATTTATAATCTTTTTAAACCTAACTATTTTGTACCCTATCCGTGAAATTCTCTAGCCGTAAAGGCTATCTCTCCCGGGTTTTCTGCAACCATGATGCGCGCGCATCCTGAATGTTTACAAACCTATAATTGGTCTATAGAATACTTAAATTGACTTTGATGATACTGAAACAAACGGCTGACAGCAAGTTCAGTGATTATTATGGCGGCACATTCATCGAATATATAACACCAAATTTCTATTAAATTAACACTTGCAATCGTCTACTTTTAATTGTTTTGAATTTGTAAAATTACATATAACACATATAACTTGTTTTTATGTACCCGACGTTTATTTTGTCGAACGTGCGGATAGTGAAAGTTCTACTGCATTCAAAGCGAGCTTTATTGCTACCAGCTCGTTCTGCAGGCGCAAATGTCCTTGTCAGTGGAGTTCGCTGTCAAGTCAGAGCACAAATCTATTCTAAAGTAGGGTCTTATTTAACAGTTTTGTGCTTAATAGCATACTATTGCTTTTAGGACCATGGCTGCAAAGATTTTGCCTGTAGTCAAGTAAGTGTTTTTGCGTTGTTGCATATGGAGCTAATTAGCAGTTCGCTTACAAGTGTCTGTTTGGGCTTGGGAGGTATGCTGAATGACATATTTGTGCATTATTATATTTTGTATAGTTTAATATTTTTTATATTAGTTATAAATTAAATTAGCATGTATTTGAGTAGCTATCTTCATGGTGGATTAAGGGGAGCTAGTTCGCTAGTAAGTATAGCAAGAACTTAAGCTGTGTAAATATTGGCTTTTTGTTTTGAATCTGAGTTTAATTAAAATAACCATGTAGTTTGTGTCACAGTAACCCAAGTAGTTTGTAAATAACAGCTGTTTATCTCAATGTGGCCTTTTGACTTTGAATGACTGAATTTGTGTTGATGTATATTTCAGGTTTGCGACAAAAGTGACCATTGCAGGTGGCGCCCTGTATGTTGCATATGATTCAGGACTTCTTGGAGATAGCAAAGAGGGATCTGTCACCTTGGGTCGAGCTAAAGCTGCCATCCCACCTGCTGTGGAGGAGTGGATGAAGTACTTTGGCTTTGAGGTATGAAAAGTGTATTAAAGGGGTCATATGATGCGATTTCAATTTTTCCTTTCTCTTTGGAGTGTTACAAGCTCTTGGTGCATAAAGAAGATCTGTAAAGTTGCAAAGACTAAAGTCTCAAATCCAAAGAGATATTCTTTATAAAAGTTAAGAGTCAACCACGCCTACCTAAAACGGCTCGTTCTAACACACCCCACATACCTACGTCACTATCTGGGGAGAAACAATAATGTACAGTATGTGGAAAATAATGTGTTTTCTGAACCTTAAACCGCATAAACACATTTCATTACACCAAATACACAAAATAATGTTCTTTTAGCAGCATCATATGACCCCTTTAATGAAACCTAAAAGTAGAGCCTGTGACTCTACTTAAGAGGTGGTATTTAAAAAAATATAGATGACAGCACTGAATTCATCAACTAAACCATACCCTATATTCATTTACAAAGGCGTGACAATGGAAATAAGAGTACACTACTATTCAAAAGTTAAAATTAAATTATAAATTGATACTTTTATTCAGCAAGGATGTATTAAATTGATCAAAAGTGAGAGGAAAATCTTTTATAATGTTAAAGATTTCTGTTTCAAAATTATTTTGGACTTTTTATTTATCAAGGAATCATGAAAAAAGTATGACAGTTTTCAAAAAAAAAAAAAAATGAAGCAGCACAAATGTTTCTTGAGCAGCAGAACAGCATATTATCAGCATATAAGCATATTAGAATGACTTCTGAAGAATCATGTGACTGAAGAAAATGCTGAGAATGCTGAAAATTCAGATTTGCATCACAGGAATAAATTACATTTTAGAATGCATTCAAATATAAAACAGCTAAATTGTAATAATATTTCACAATAATCCTTACTGTATTTTTGATGAAATAAATGCACCCTTGATGAACGTAATAGACTTTCAAAACATTAAAAAAATCTTACCGACCCCAAACTTTTGAATGGTGGTATATGTGTCATTTGCAACTGATGTGTAATGCTGACCAGAATACTTCTTATGATGGTGTCTGTGTAGTATTTTCCTGTGTTGTTTCAAGTCAGTTTGTTATAATGTTTTTTTTTTTTTTTGATAAAACATTTTAGCTTCCTGCCACGCCCAAAATTGAGTTCTCACCACTGGATGCATGGAACTCAGGTAAAAGTGTATTTGGTGGAAGATGCTTGTATATAATCAGTTTTTCCACACATGTAATGTGAATATAATGTAGTCTTGTGATCGCTCCATTTTTTTCACTCAGGGGTCCAGAAGTCTATCCATGCCCTATCGGTCACCCCGTCCACAGTTAGTGACTACACCAAACAAGGCCTCCAATACGTTAAAGACCTCACAAAATGAGCATTTAGAACTTTAAAGTTAGTATAAGATGCTCTCGAAATACTTCAGTGGATGAAAAGACTTACACACTTCGAGAAGCTTTTCCCCTGCATATATGTCACAGACTAAATTCCATTATGGAACAAAAATTAGAATTATTATGAGGATAGTAATGGCACAAACCCAATTTTGCTCTTCGGTAACAGAAAAATACAGTTGTAAAGCATTGAGATGAATCAAAAAATAATTTGAAGATCATAATATAAGTGGGTTATATGTATATTGTTATTCAGCTCTTTTATTTATTTGAGAAATCTCTTTCTGGAAATGTTCTGTTTTGGCATTGATCTTCCCCTTGATCCATCCAAAATTCACCCTTTTTATATAGGCACAAAAGGACTGCAACTGAGTTTTGTATAGTTTATAATCCCATGTTGCTCTGTCTAATGTAAAATAAATCATGTCAAATATTGTGAGGGATGTAGTTCTTCTGCGTGAGTGTGTTTGCTAACAACTACTATTTGTTTAAAGCTTGTTAAGACTAGATTAAGCTTGGAGTCAGTCTAACCACATGAAAGCATTACTTAGTAACACTTTTCAGCTTTACCGCAGAGTAATGCTGCTTTCATGTCAAGATAGACCCCAACACTTTTCTGCACGTCCTGACTCATTTTGAAAGTTTTGCAGTGGCCGCACATGTCGTCTTACCAGAACATGTTGATTAAAGAACATGTATGTGCTTGGAAACATATTAGGGGTTTGTGCATTTCCTGTTGGTTTTACAGACAGTTTTGCAAGTTACTGAGCAGTAAAAACTAGTAGACCCTACTAGCATAACTAATAAAAGTTCTCAAGCTTATTGAGGGCAAGTAAATAGTTAAAACAAAGACACAAATGACAAGCAATAGAACAAATCAAATAAACATTGCTTTAAATTTTTCGGATAAGGATATCTAACAATAGTATTCAGGTAAGAAAGTCTACAAAAACTGAATAAAGTAATCAAATGTAACAAAACAAACAAACAAAAAAACCTGTATGAATGAAATATACACTGATTTCTATTAAAGCTCAAAATTATCCAGTCAAGAGCATTGAGCAATTTTCTCTTTTTCTTTTGTTGTTTGATTAACATTAATGATATAGACAACAGCAGGGTTATTAGGCTACTGTCACTTTAAGACCTGTCTAATATACTGACACACCTCTTATTTTCTCCCAACTGTTTACATTCACGAAGACAACCAATTTGTGATGACAAAAGTACGCATTTTTAAATATTTTCTTGTGTGTTTGACGCATGCTCCTGAAGCCCAAAATATACTTTGCATGTCCGAGTTCCGCTCCATCTCGGAGCTCGCGCACAGAAAGAAGAAACTCTTTACTTTCTCATTCATCTTTGATTCTTGATTGTGCTGTCTTAAAAAAGTCTTGCCAACTGAAAGCTGCACAGATATACTTCCATTCGGAAATAAACAGGACACATTTATAGGACATAAAAGATCACAATCTCTATGATTCATTTGAAAAGTAGGTTGTGGACGTCTTAAAGATCGATCAAGATAAAAAAAATCGTCACCCCCGATGAGAACATTAGTTGTAGAATAACTGATGTGATGGCAGGTGCTCTTTCTTTTTTTTTATCATAGAATTTTTATTGTTGCAAATTGCATTTTTACATGTTATACCCCACCCACCATATACGACCTTACCCAGCCCCAACAAAGCAATCCCCAATTAGAACACAATGACATCTGAAAAAAATAAATTAATTAAAAAAAAAAAAAAATTTCCCTCTCTCTTCTTTACAAAAAATACAAATACAAAATACAAAAAATACATAAAACAAATGAATAATATTAATAAAATAAGGGGTATACATATATACCTCCACTCAATCCACGTCTAAGATTTGTAAATCATTAAAGAATGTGATAAATTTGGGAGAGATGTTGAAATGCAAGACTTATGCAGATGCTCTTTCTGGAGGAATTTCTTTCTTTCGTTTTCTTTCTTTTTTTTTTCCCCAACCTGGGCTGCTTCATGCAACAACAACAAATCAATTGCTTGTGTCCCAAGGCCTTTTCAAATTAAGCTTAAAATATACATTTCTTTTTGTGTAAGTGTCTTCTCATTTTTTCCCCCCCAGTGCTACGTTTATTTTTGTTTAACAAGACAGTTGTGTAACTTAGGATGTGGTGGGGGTGGTGAACTTTAGCAGTGTTTGAGAATTAAACAGCCCCCTAACTGGTTTCGCTCTCTCTGAAGTGGCGCTTTAGAAAGAAAAAATGCAGAGTCATTGCTTATTGTGTTTTTGATGTTCTTTTCTCAGTTTTATTGACAAGTTTGACAGCGAGCATTCACATGGCACCATAAAAGCTGAGCTTGACATACTGCACAACAAAACAATGCATTTTCATAGGCATCAAGCACCTCCTTTGATCACCTCCTTGATCCAGAATCTGTATTTTGAAATTTCAGTGTAAACATTGGGAACATTTGGGTAGTCACAGCGTCCCATGTTGAAAGAGACAATTCCCACTGCTGTCCCACTGCACACCAACGGTCCACCCGAATCACCCTGCAATGACAATGCATTTGAGATTGATTCCAGACACATTTTTTATTGAGTTCAGAAGAATATAGACTCACAGAATATGAACTTCCTCCAAAATATCGCTTTAGACGTACCTGGCAAGCGCCACTTTTGGTCTCGAAACCCCCAGCACACAGGATGTTTTTGGGGAGATTCACTCGCACTTTTTTCCACATTGTCTGGCAGATGGAGGAGTTGATAGGTGACACATCTGTCACCAGCAGATCATTCACCACATTTTCCTGTTCAGTTTGACCCCATCCTGCAACCTGGCACTTGGTCTTTGGCTTCAGGGGTTTGTCCTTGCTCGGGATTTTGATGGTTTTCACACCTTTGCCGGTTTTCAGCTTCTTGGACAGCTACAATTTCACATATGAAAAGTGTGGTCTTTGTGATTACCATTAATGGTTTGTTTAATCTAATTATTTAATTTATAATTAAAATGTAAATGTATGTATTATTATTAAATTCAAAAATAAAATTTAAGTATTTAATTATACATTTATATTTAATAATAAACTTAATATTGTTATATTTTATAATATATTTACATTTATTTATGAATATTGTACCTTCAGAAGCATGATGTCATTCCCAGTTTTGGCATCTTTGTAGGATGGGTGCTTATGTCTATTTTGCACTGTATATCTTCTCAGATTTGCTCCTTGTGGACTGATGTTGTGGGTGCCCAGGATCACAGTCATGTTACCACTTTATTCATAGCATGAACATAATTGCATATTAGTAGACAGTTTTGTTGAACACCAAACATATTCCAGGTCAACAGTTGGCTTTACCTTTTATCGCAGTGTGCGGCTGTGAGCACATAGCTCGGGTTGATCAGGAATCCTCCACATTTGTGTTTTCCATCAATCTGCACTGATGCCATGTACAGCATGGAGTTCTTCTTGGCTTTTTTGCCATTGATGATATCAGCTCCAAATGTGCCTAAGCAAATAAAGATGCAAAGATGCACGTTTGAGATAACAAAAAACAGTTCAGTTATCATTTTATAATCAGTTAAGCATGATTTTACTAACCAGTCAGTATCAAGCTCGTCAAAGCCACTGAGAGCAACAGGCCATACGCTGCACTCATCTTCATAATGTGCTGCAGGTACGACCACCACAGTCATTTATATAGCTCTCTACCACATGACATTCAGTGATGACGCAAGATGCAGAATTTGCTACTTTACTCCAAATATGTTTTGCTTTCCTTCGATACAAGATCTGCTCCAGCATATCTTGGTAAAACTGATGTCTTTCAGGTGCAGTTTAATTTCTTTGGCAGCATTGCTCTAGACTATTTCTGATGGATTCCTGTGAATGCTCTTTGGGTTTGATCAAACCTGATTTTTATTTTTTTTTTTTTTTTCATGG